TGTTAAATGACTTGTCCAAGATGATATAATAAATGCCAGAACTGTAATTGAGAATTAGCTCTGTTGGACTTTAAAGCCCATGTTTAAAGCCATATCACTGTACAGTCACCCAAATTTACTCTTAATATGTCCTGTTTTTGTTTATTTGCCTTTTTTGATATGCTTTTACATTCTCTCCTGAATCTTCTTTCAATTTAACTCTTGGTTTAATCTTTATATGTAGGTGAATTTTTGCTGTGATCAGGCTATTCTTTTTGTTTTTCAGCTAATATAGTTCTAGTTTATTTTATTTTCTATGTCCCAGGTACTAGCTCTTGAATGTTATCATGAATTTCTCAGGCCTGGGCTGAAGGTTTTTCTATGTCCGTAAGTGACTGAGAAGTGAATGTATTTAGGCAAAGCCTTTCTGAGCCTCCTCTTTCTTGATTTCCAATTATCTCTGCTCTCTCAGCCTTCTAGGTATCAGGACTAGTGTACCAGTCATCACTCTCAGGTTATGACACTCTTGGTAGATTGAAAAAGGAGTTTTTATTTTTTCGTTGTTGTTATGATATACTCCCCCCATCTTCTAACCCTCCAACGTGGAGTCATAAAAAGTTGCAAATGTTGATGAAGATTGAAGTAGTCCCCTAAACCATTTGGTTTGCATTTAATTTTATACTGTGAATATTTTCAATATGGCAACTCAATGCAGATTATAAATATTGAGCTAGCATTGTTTTAGTTTGACTACAGTTCAAAATTTACAGTTTAAATTTACTTAAAGTACTAGTTATTCTCTGTACTTTGCTTTCAGAAATCTTGCTAAATTATCTAATTAATTCTAATAGTTTTTGAACCTCTTATATTTTCTAGCTGTACAGTATTATTTACAGAATTATGATAATTTTGGCTTTTTTGATCTATTGCTTTTTTTCCTTTCTTGTCGTATTTATTAACTGGACCCTATAAATTTTAAATGAAAATGGATAAAATTGGCATCTGTGTCTTATTCCTGTTTTAATAGAAATTCTGTTAGTATTTTAGCATTTAACGTGGTATTAGATTCTGATAAATAGTCATATCGTGTTTAGGATGTTTCCTTTTATTTTTATTTTTTTTTCTAGGAACAACTGTTGAATTATTTGAAAATTTTTTTGGTATAGTAATACTTCTGTATATTCATGTGTTAATGTAATTAATGATGTTGGTAGATATCCTAATATTGTACCATGCTTGTGTTCTTGGAATAAGTTTAACTTTATCATGATAGCTTATTATTTTTATAGTGTAATTAGATTAGATTTGCTAATACTTGGTTTAGGACATTTCTATCTATATTTATATGTATGGTTAGTCAGTATTTTTCTCCATGTATGTCATCTGTGTGAGATTTTAATGTTAGAGCTATGCCAGCATTACGTAAAATGAATTGAGAGGTTTTTTATGTATGGTCAGAGACAATTTGAATGACATAAAAAATATATTTCTTCATGAAACTCTCCTACTTCCCAGTCTGGGCTTGGTACCTACTTTTAGTGGTTAATAGTTCTGGCATAGGAATGGGTAAGTTAGACCAGTGGAAAAAAGGATGGAAGGCCCAGAAACAGATCAAAATATATACATATAATTTATAAAATATTATCAGTTCAAACTAATGTAGAAAGGATATGTTATTCAATAAATGATGTTGGAAAAATTGGTTCTTCATTTGAAAGAAAATAATATTAGAGCACTACTTCATACCATATTCAGAAATAAATTTCTATTGAATTAATACAATCTTAATATAAAATTAAAACTATTAAGGTATTTGAAGGAAATATAGGAAAAATCATTTTTATTACTTTTGTAGGCTTCTTAAGATGATAGAGAGCCTAGACCCTTAAGGGAAAAACTGACAGATTTATCTAAATAAAAATTTAAAAATATTTGTATGCAAAAGATGTTAGAAATAAAGTCAGAGGCAAATAACAGACTGGCAAACGATATACTGAGATATATTATCTGCCACACTTACAAGAGAAAGAAGGTTTTTAAAAATTGTTTAGTAACAAAAAAGATAAAACTCAGTATAAATTTTGGGCATTGTATATGCCATATAACAGAAGAATAAATACAAATAGTCCATAAATATATGACTTTATTATCTAATAGGAAAATATAAATTGAAACAACCAGTTACCATTTTTTGGTTCAATAACTCATCAAAATTAAAGCAATTGGCCGGGCGCAGTGGCTCACGCCTATAATCCTTGCTCTCTGGGAGGCCGAGGCGGG